CCCCAAAACCCCAAAACCCCAAAACCCCAAAACCCCAAAACCCCATAAATACTGGGTGAAATAGAAAACAATAATTAATTCTTAGAAGTACTATTTACCATATGGGTTGCTTTGAAAGTAAAAATGTGCAAACGCCTAACAGAGAGCCTTCATTTGTGAGGAGAGATAATCCTCCCTTTACTCCCAGTAAATCAGCAAATGCTCCGAGGTCGATTATGATTCAACAACTGACTAAAACTAAGTTTGTGCCAAAAGAGCCAAACTGGAACGATAAGAGTGATAATGAGCTTGAATGCATTATTTGCTTAGAGATAAAGAAGGACTCATCAATTTCTAGCTGCTGCATAAATATCATTTGAAATGATTGTACTAAAAATCTAAATGGGACATGCCCACTGAGGTGCAAGAAACTATCAGCACAATTTAAGGCATCAATTAAACTGAATAAGAGAATCAATAAAGTGTTCTCTCTCTGTGATGTCTGCTTTGCAGAAGTTCATCCTTGGGATATGGATCGCCACCAGGAGACTTGTGGAGACCATATCGTAGGAAAATCAGTAAAAGATTCATGGTAAGCATTAATTCTTTCTTGGTTATTCTGATTTTATCATTTTTATCTTATGCGTACTCTAGCCTCCACAATTGAACATTGATCAGAAAAACAACAGGAAAGCAATGGAAATGCTATTCTAGAGAAAATGCATATCAAGTCCACAAAGATAAAAAAACAGATTCCTGCTACGAATGTGAGAAATGCCAGATCAAATTCTGCACTTTCTGTGTAGCTAAAGCTATACTACTGGGTGATAATATGGATTTAAATGGAAAAATTATCAGCCCAACAGAATCTGTATTCTTTCCTTGCAAGAATTCGGAAGATATCACTGTCGAAGAACTCGTAGCCCAAATTCCTTCTTTCAATCATTTCTTCTTGCCAGTGTAAGAACAAATCTCATTATAAATCTCCAGATGGGTAAAGAAGATTGTCTTTCTCACATATAAGAATACCTTCCCAATCCTGACACTTTTCTGATCTGGAAGGCTTAACCCTAAATTTTCTAAATCTTAACTCTACTTATAACTGTTCAACTTTTGGTCATGGCTTAGGGGTTTTGGGGTTTTGGGGTTTTGGGG